TTCAAGTGTTGTGGAACAAGAAGAAGGAACAGCGCATGCATAGGCAATGGGTGAAGCATGCAATGACATGAATTATCACAAGTCTTGTGAGAAATTCTTGTGGTTTTGCAATTTAAGCAAAGATAGGAAGTAGGGGAAAAAAGAAATTAAAGAGGCTGATAGATCACGTAGGGCCTTGTTTCCATGCTGTGACATTGGTGTTTTTCTCTAGAAAGAAATGGTCAGACTTTGAAGGATTTATCCTTGTACAAAGATTGCTCTGGAAGCAAAATGTTGAATGGTTAGGAGGGAGCAAGACTGGAGAAACCAGTTAAGACACTGTTACACTGTGACACAGAGGTGATGAGAGCCTAATGAAGACAGCAGCAATAGGGATGGAGAGAAGGCACTATATACAGAAGATACTAAAGAGTAATATTAATAGAACATCATCACAGATAAGGCAAAAAGGATAAGAGAGCAGGAAAGTAATAGAAGTTTCAGGCGTGGCCAACAGGATAAATGATGATGAAATTTCCTGGAATAGGTTTTCTACTTTTCTAAAATGATGAATTCATTTTGGGGCATGTTGATTTAGAGGTATCTTTGGGGCCTTTCTTTCTACGGGGTCTATGGGTCTGAAGCTCAGCAGGAAAAGGATTTAGATTTAGCAGTCATCAGTGTATTAATGGTTGCTGAAAACCCTGTTTGTGGGTGATATCACGTGTATAGAGTGTGATGGGAATAAAAGAGGGTTAAGGGCAGAATCCCAGGGATTCACGTCTGAGAAATGGATGAAGGAAGGGAAATCTGAAAAAGAGACTATAAAGGAGCAACCAGACTGGTAGAAGAAAAACAGTGGACTTGGGGAAACAAGGAGAGAAGGACCTGTCTGGCAGAGGCAGGTATCACAGAGACATTAAGACAAAGACTGAGTGGTGGGAATGTAAATTGAACCACTATGGAAAACAGTATGGAAGTCCCTCAAAAAATTAAAAACAGAACTATCATATAATCCAGCAATTCCACTTTTGTGTATTTATCTGAAGAAAGCAAAACCTCTAATTCAAAAAGATATATGCACCACCATATTCACTGCAGCATTATTTACAATAGCCAAGATATGGAAACGACCTAAGTGTCCATCAATGGACGATTGGTAAATAAAATGTGGTATAAATATAAAATGCAATATTATTCAGCCATAAAAAAAGAATTAAATCTTGCCATTTGCAACAACATGGATGGACCTCGAAGGCATTGTGCTAAGTAAAATAAGTCAGAGAAAGACAAATACCATATGATCTCACTTATCAATGAAAGCTAAAAAAAAAAAAAGAACTCATCGATACAGAGAACAGATTGGTTGCCAGAAGCAAGAGGTGGGGAGTGGGCAAAATGGGAGAAGGGGGGTCAAAAAGTACAGATTTCCATTTCTAAAATAAATAAGTCATTGGGATGTAATGTACAGAATGGAGACCACAGTTACTAATACTGTATTGTATTGAAAGTTGCTAGGAGAGTAGATCTTAACAGTTGTCCTCACAAGAAAAAATAATTGTAACTATATATGGTGATCAATGTTGTTAACTAGATTTATTGTGGTGATCATTTTGCCTTATATACAAATACTGAATCATTATGTTGTACACCCCAAACTAATATAATGTTATATGTCAATTATACCTCTATTTAAAAAAAGACAAAGACTGAAAAGTTACCACTCAATTTACTGATTGATGACCAATTTAAGAGGGCCTAATCATCTTGGTCTAAGGCAGAAATATATGGTCGTGGGTTGAGGGAGTGAATAAGAGATGAAGAACTCATGCCGTAGTCTTTCCAAAAGCTCGGTTGTGATGTCAGTAGGAAGTGGAAGCCAGAGGAGGATTGTGTTTTTCTTTTTTAAGGTTATAGCACTTGGAAGATATGTACATATTCGGGGGAAAGAGGCAGTCTAGAGGGAGAGGTTGGTGTGAAAGGAGAAAAATGAATGGGACTGAAACACCAAAGCAGCAGCAGGAGGTGGTAAGCAGAGTTTCACTTTAGATGGGAGAAGGGTTCCTCTTGCACTGAAACGAGGTGGCTAGAACGAAGAGGTCAGTGTGGGCATGGGTGAACCTGCTTCTAAGTGGAAAGCAGGAAAACACACTTCTTTCTGATGGCTCTATTTTCTTAGTGAGATCATTTTCTGACAATAAAACTGGAGATGTGAGGCAGGGATTTGAATGTTGTTGAGGGAATGACAGAAGGTGCTGGCTCAGCTCATGAAGAACACAGTTTGCTGCCAATCGCTAAGGGCCCACATGTGGCTGGAGACCACTAATTCATTTGCTGGCAGCAGTCTATACTGTGTGTGTGTGTGTGTGTGTGTGTGTGTGTGTGTGTGTGTGTGTGTATCTTCTAGCAGTGCTCAATCACAAAAGGGTGTATACAAAATTTAAACAATTTGAATGGTTGGATCAAACTTCTTTGAGATTTTACTAGTTGAAAAAGAAGAACAAGAACTGACATTTATTGAGAAAACTTGGACATGGCAGTTAATCTCTCTAAACCTCAGTTTCCTTTTCTATAAAGTTGGACTAAAAATAGTACCTGTCTCACTGGGTTGTTGTGAGAATTAAATGAGATAATACAGTTTTTTTCAAATTTTTTATGGTGAACTTCAATAAGAAATATGTAGCCTTTTGTGAGAATTAAATAAGTAACTACCAGTCCACAATGCCTTTACCAAAACATTTGGAGACTTACATGTTTCCAAATTCAGAATTTGGAGGATTTTAAGAAAGTAATATGGTGACTAGAACACATATTACATAACACCCCAATAAGGCTTGGAGAAGTATCCAAAATCAAACAGTAATCTTTCCACAGCCAAATTTATGAACAGTTACACAAATCATGAATGAAGACAGTAACTAGCCTCTCCTCAGTTTCAGGTCAGGTTTTGCCACCAAAGGAATTCAGGTCAGATTTTGCTTTAAGTGTGTTTTTTTAAGAATCTTTTGGTTTTTCAGATATGTTTGCATTTCGGAATTATAGATATGAAATCATAGATTTATTGATAATATCTTAAAAGTGCCTGGCACATCATAAGTATTGGTTCCTATTATTGGTAGGGGTATATTTCATTTTTAAAATTATGTCCCTAACCCACCAAAGGGATTTCATGGCTTATTGGGTTGGCCAAAAGTTTCATTCGTTTTTTTTCCGTAAGATGACTCTAGTAGCACTTAGTTGTCTTTAACTTCATTCAAAACAATTTTGTTAGATTGTATGTGACAGCTGTCATATAAGCATGCATTTAAAAAAAGACATCAAAATTGGTGAATTTTTGTGTGGCCATTTTAATATTGAAGATGGAAGAAAAAAAGCAACATTTTCGGCATATTATGCTTTATTATTTCAAGAAAAGTAAAAATGCAACCCACATGCAAAAAAAGATTTGTGCAGTGTATGGAGAAGTTGCTGTGACTGATCGAATGTGTCAAAAGTGGTTTGCAAAACTTTGTGGTGGAGATTTCTCACTGGACAACGCTCCATGGTCAGGTAGACGAGTTGAAGTTGATAGTGATCAAATCGAGACATTAACTGACAGCAATCAACGTTATACCATGCGGGAGATAGCCGACATACTCAAAATATCCAAATCAAACACTGAAAGTCGTTTGCACCAGCTTAGTTATGTCAATCGCTTTGATGTTTGGGTTCCACATAAGTTAAGCAAAAAAAACCTTCTTGACTGTATTTCCACATACGATTCTCTACTGAAATGTAATGAAAACGTTCCGCTTTTTAAACAAATTGTGATGGGCCATGAAAAGTGGATACTGTACAATAATGTGGAATGGAAGAAATCGTGGGGCAAGTGAAATGAACCACCACCAACCACACCAAAGGCGGGTCTTCATCCAAAGAAGGTGATGTTGTGTATATGGTGGGACTGGAGGGGAGCCCTTTATTATGAGCTCCTTCCAGAAAACCAAACGATTAATTCCCACAAGTACTGCTCCCAGTTAGACCAACTGAAAGCAGCACTCGATGAAAAGCATCCAGAATTAGTCAACAGAAAACACATAATCTTCCATCAGGATAAGGCAAGACCACATATTTCTTTGATGACCAGGCAAAAACTCTTACAGCTTGGCTGGGAAGTTCTGATTCATCTGCCATGTTCACCAAACATTGCACCTTCGGATTTCCATTTATTTGGGTCTTTACAAAATTCTCTTACTAAAAATTTTCAATTCCCCGGAAGACTGTAAAAGGCACCTGGACAAGTTCTTTGCTCAAAAAGATAAAAAGTTTTGGGAAGATGGAATTGTGAAGTTGCCTGAAAAATGGCAGAAGATAGTGGAATAAAAGGATGAATACGTTGTTCAATAAAGTTCTTGGGTGCAAATGAAAAATGTGTCTTTTATTTTTACTTAAAAACAGAAGGCACTTTTTGGCCAACCCAATACTTATAGGTTGTGACCCACACTCTGAAAAATGCTGATATATAAATGTTTAACCTGGTCCTTGATACATACTAAGCTCTCGAAATGTTAGAAGGGGAAAAAATACCATCTTATATGTGTATGTTTTAAGTTTGCAGAATTCTTTTAAGCATATAGTTGCAATTCATGTTCACAGTAACCTTATCAGAAATAAACTAAATAGTTTAACTTTCCTCTTGATCCACTTGAGCGTTTCATGTCTCAGTATTTCTTGTGAAGAACAGTAGGAAATTTAAATAATAATAATAGTACCTCCCAATGGCATTTTTATCTTGATACCTAAAGCATTTTTAAAGTTTATTTTATGTGAAAGATCATTTTGTTGCACAGATAACCAAACAGAACTAAGAAATCAAGCCATTTGCTTAAGGCACAAAATACACTATTTCTACATGGAATTTGTCCAACAGAATATACAGCTTAGGAGCAACTTCCAAAGCATATTTATTATTCAGTCCTTAAAGTGAGCTAAAGACACGCTCATCTGAAGGCACCTTATAATCTTTGAGTTTTATTTTCTAGTGCTCTTGGAGACATTAAAATAGCTGAAGTGAATGTCAAAGGTTTATGCGTGAAGCTCATTAACTCTTCCCTTGACAAAGAACTGGAAATCGGAAATCATATTCTCCAACAAAATGTGGATGGACAAACAGTCTCTCTGTACCAATTCCTTCCCAATATCAAAATGCAGGCCAATTCCACGGTAACAGTGAGTATAAGATATAAATACTATGAACTAGATTTGTTCAGGGAAAACTCATTTACCCAGTCAGACCATGGCTTAGCACCAGTGCTTTCTTCATCCCTCGATCTCTCTGTTAAATGTGATTTTTTGGTTGTTGTTGGTGAATTGTGCCACTTTGTCCATCTCTGCATATAAATGAATACCCATAATTAAATTTCCATAGCTTTCTTCAATTTGGCATACAATACTTTGTGCTTTTATGATTTAACTATCAAAATAAAATACCTACGTTCCTAAAACTAAGCAAACATAATCTTTAAAGAAAAAACAAAGAGAGGGTTTGTTTAGGTGACACTGGAGAGTTCCCCTCTCTTTCTTGGGCTTTACTTTAAACCACATACAGTAGCTGTTCAGTTCCACAGCTTGACATTACATATTATACAGTCATTATATTTTAAAAACCTCACCTGCTTAGAAAGATGTGTTGCAATAACCCTCTGACATTTATAAAACTATGTTGAACTCCAATGGCAACTGTTATTAACAAACTATTCTCTTTCAGGTCTGGGCAGCAGCATCTGAAGCAAAGCACCAACCACCATCAGATTTTCTTTGGAAGGAACAGAACAGATTTAGGACAAGCCCCAATTGTACAACAATCCTGTGCAAGCCTAATGGTGAAGTCAGTGTCCTGTTCTTTTTTTTTTTTTTTTTGGCTGCGTCGGGTCTTCATTGCTGCACGCGGGTTTTCTCTAGTTGCGGCAAGCGGGGGCTACTCTTCGTTGTGGTGCGCAGGCTTCTCATTGCGGTGGCTTCTCTTGTTGCAGAGCACTGGCTCTAGGCGCTAGGCATGCGGGCTTCAGTAGTTGTGGCTTGCGGGCTTAGTTGCTCCGCGGCTTGTGGGATCTTCCCGGACCAGGGCTCGAACCCACGTCCCCTGCATTGGCAGGCAGATTCTTAACCACTGAGCCACCAGGGCAGCCCCGAGTCTACTGATTTTTAAACAGGGCTAGATATTTTTCACCCACCACATTGTTGTCCTATATGATTTGTAGCCTCTGTATTACGTGTCAAAAATTTAATAGGCATCTTATATGATTCAACGCCTGGGACTTTCCCAATACACTGTTTTCTATTAGAGATTCAGACATGGAACAGACCGCTCCTGTGCCACAGGAACTCAAAGGGCTATTTATATGTACGTTATCTCCTTTGATTCTCAGATCAGTTAAGCATTTTACAAAGGAAGAAAATGGGGCTTGGAAAGTTAAATGGCTGGCTCAAGGTCACATGATAGGCAAAATGGCAACAGCAAAATAAAACCAGACAAAAGAGCCTACAGGGTTCATATGGTCAACATTCCAAAGGTGAAATTAAAACATCATTTTATCACATTATCACTGTCATTATCATCAGATGTTTTTAAGCCCCCTATAGTACAGGAAGAAATAAAATATTGCCCTTGGCTAGGAAAGGCTTACAATCTAACTGAGAGAGATTGCACTCAAAAGATCATAAACATATTTGCCATGCAAATATCTATGTTTGAGCTGCAAAAAAGGAGAATCCCTGACTGATGAACTGAACCAAACGTGGGGTTTTCCTGCTGTGAGCCATGAAATTAAACCTTTTAAGAAAGATTTCATCTTTCTCTTTCTTTGCTGTGGGCCTAGCCTAGCTGCACTTGCCTTGTGTTGCTTTTATGTCTGTTTAGCTGGCAAACAAAGGGTTTGGCAATGGTTACAGCATCAACCCAAACCTCTAATTTTATAAACTAAAAACAGATCATGAGAACAAATAGAATGATAGGGCACACTTCGGTGCCTAACTTTTCTCATGTTGAACAAAAACATAATTATTAGTCCCTACACATGATTTTTCTGAATAATTTTTGCACATATATGTGCACATATATGCCACATATTCAGAAAACCAAAAAAAAAAAACCTGCCCACCTAGGATTCTAGCCTGGAGAATGTGGTTTCCTCTCCATGTCTTTAGTTCTAATGCCCATTTCCCCATCTCAAATAAGACTAGATAGATAGATAGATAGAGTCTTAACTATTAAAAATTTAACTTATTAATATTACAACTACTGTTTGCATAGTTCTTTATAGTTACAAAATTCAGTAGCTTAACTGAATCTCACCACACCCTCATATAACACCCTCACCACCACCCTCCCCATTTTACGTATGAGGACACAGTCCAAGACAGTAGGTGACTAATCTGCCTGAGGTTATACAGCTTGTAATTTTCACAACTGGAAACTAAGGCCAGGATGTCTTACTACAGCCTCATCATGTGTTTCACTAATCCTTACACAGGACGTAAATGACATTACAGTTTGACTTTGAAATTTTATTGCAATAAGCCTATGTCATTTAAAAAAGAAAACCTGTAACTTCAATAGTATTTCATGTTAATAAATCATTGTTGTTAGGCTGTTGCCTGGTACACTCCTATCCACTGGAAGCAAGCATGGGAAAAATTAGAGACTGACATTGAATGTGACAGATGCTCAGTAGTAAGTCCAACATCTCGAAGGCACATGTTTCATTGGCCAGCAGCTACAACTACAACTAAAGAAAAACAAGACCAATCTAAGCAAGATATCTCAAAATATCAGGTGGAACGAGTTCAAGCTTCTCTTACAAGGTAAAAGTTGCTTGTTTTCTTTTTTTTTTAAATTAAGTCCTTCCCACAATTAATAAGGGCCGAACAGGTGGGAGTGACTGGCTGACAAGTAGATATATGATGAATGGGTAAATCAATAAAGACCAAAACACTCCTATTTTGAATAAGACCATAAAAACCATAATAGCTTTTATGTTTTAAAACATAAAAACACAGAGCTAGTAGGGTAAACTCGTGGGATGATAAAGGCTGTCAATTTCCACTGGGTGATATCAAGACCCCTCTGGTCATTTCATTCCATAACAGCACTGCTGTTAGAGGTAAGGCCGTGGAGTAATGCAGAGATGAAGTTATCACCACACCTTTGGCAGTGCTTAGGTGGAGGAAGATTTGCATCATCTAGAATTTTCATCTTGGATCAAGAGCTGGCTGTGGCTGAAAGAACAGAATTTATGTTATTCATTTGTAGGCAAATGCTTCTGATGTGATAATGGGGCTGCCCACAAAGTCTAGAAAAGCCATATTCTCTGGTCTTGGAACATGCTTTCACTCTAATTGAGCTTTCATTATTAATGCCACTGTATGAAGTGCCTTTGGGGTTCAATTTGGGCTTAATTTTTCTTTTACAGAGAAAAAGAAATCCCACCAACCCTTTTCCCCAATCGCAGCCCCTGGTGCCACAGTCCTCATGTCTCTGCACATCCTTACTGTTCACTGATTGATCCTCACAACACCTACATGACTGAACGCAGCTTAGACAGCCAGCCCAGGTCTCAGTCAGCCAAGCCTGATCTAGCCAGGTAAGTCAAAGGGATACTTATTCCAGTGGAGAGTAAGTGGTGAGTGTCTGTGTGTGTGTGTGTGTGTGTGTGTGTGTAGAACTGGTGAAAAGGTGGTTAAGTTGTAAAAGTCTCTAAGTATTAAAAAGTATTCATATTCTCAAGAACAGATGGCCTCGAAAGCAAGTACCGTGAGCCGTTTACGTATTTGCTCTAGCGCAGTTATCTGAGTGCATCAACGAATCCAAAGAACAGCATGGCCAGCAAGAGTACATAGGCTTGGGCTTCCCTGGTGGCGCAGTGGTTAAGAGTCCGCCTGCCGATGCAGGGGACACGGGTTCGTGCCCCGGTCCG